AGTCTGAGATGGTGCAAATACTGCCTAAGGCTGAGCTTTGGCTCATATCCTGGCCCGGAAGAAAAGCAAAGGCCCCTTTGAAAATCTGATAGGAGAAAATATCCAAGTCACATGTCATAATGGCTTATTTCCTTGTGGTTGATTCTGTAAGTGATTGAGAAATAATTGCTGAGCAAAGCTTGGAAAATCTGAAATTTACCTGGGGACCACACAATTTCATTTCCTGTTGTGTGGCTGCATGCCATGCAACACAGTAAGAAACAGCTATCCTATAGCATCTTGTTGACCACAACTCTGCAGAATCCAGAATCTTACTGCTGACTAAGCTTTTTTATATTTACTGCTCTTTTAATTCTCACACCAACATGGCTTCATACTAGTTTTAGTATTGCTTTTCCTGTAGGTAATTGAGGTGGTCTTCCAACTTTCTGCTGGTTTCTCTCAACATCCACTATAATTCTATGCCTGTAATTCTGTGTTCTCTTTCTAAAACATTAATCTGATCAGCTTAAATACTTCGGCAAATATACACCCCTCATCAAATATAAATTCTGGTGTTCAGTGTGACAAGAAGCATCCAATAAAATGGGATTATTGTGCTGAAATTGTAATATTTTGGGTTTCTTACTACATTAAAACTCCATCTCTATTTTGAAAATTACTTCAAAGTCCAAAGCCATTCTTCATTTTCTGTGCTTTCTTAAAAATTTGTAGTTATTGAACAGTGGCACTCAACTTAATGTTTTCTGTTTGTGTATGCTTCTTCCCAACTGTAAGATGAAATCTTACAGCCATTACTAATTCTGGTGTAGATCACCATGCAGTTTAGAAACCGGTAGGCCAGGATGCTCACTACTGACTCTGCAGACTGGTCTTCTGCTTCTGTGTCCCTGCCTTCCCACTTCAATTCTTTCTCCTACCACAGCCAGCAGGCAGAGAATCTGCTGGCTCCCACTGCACTGGCCCCTTTAGTTCCCTTTGTTACTGATAACCTCTGGCCTCCTTACCACAGTTCAGAAATTCCTTGCAGCATTGGCTGCCTCCTTCCCACCTCTGCTCCACGCTGCTCTCTCCTTGTTCTCAATCCCCAACTTAGAGCAAGGACATTTTCACTTGCTCTTTCTTCTATGTGGAGTATTGTTTTCTAGGCGTCTTACATAGCTTGTTTGTTTGTTTTTCTCATCCATCAAACCTTGTTTTGGAAGCTAGGCATGGCATTCCATACTTATAGTCCCAGCATTTACAAGGCTGAGATTGGAGGATTGTGTATTCCAAGTTAACCTTTGCTACATAGCAAGATCCTATCTTGACTCCTACCCTTTCACACAAAAAAAGGATTAAAAAAAATTCTACTCATTCCAGATACTACCTGGTCACAGAGACCTTTCCTAACACCTTGGTTATATAAACCCTTTGTCATTCAGTTATATCTCCCATTACCTATTTTCTTCATGGTACAAGTCAAATCTTTAATTTTCTTATGGGTTAGTTTTCTGATTCTTTCCAATACTACGAGTACAGATTTCTATCTGTTTGGTTACCATGTTAAAAATACTCATTTAAAATATTACCTGGCCAGAATAGGTTCTCAAAAGTTAGGTCTTAAATAAATAAATACAAAGTAGATATTTTTAAGAGCAGAACTATTCACACTACCAGAATTATGCGAATCATCACATAATAAAGTTTAATGTTTTGTGCATCTCAGAGAAAGGAGGTGAAATATTATCATGGTGTCATGATGCACCAGACCTCATCTCCTGAACACAAACAGCAAGTCTGGGGGTAAAATATAGCTAATTTATGAACAGCTTTTGCAATAAATCTTTGAAAGTATTAAAACATTAAGGGAACCAAGAAATCATAGTCAAAGAAGGGAAGAAATATGATATGTCTAAACAGCATAATGGTTTAAAGAATAGAATTTACCAAAGAAACAATATGGAGAACATTCACATAGAGCAAGAGAAAATGAGCAGAATGAACGCTTCTTGAATAAAATGCAAAAAATTCAAATTGGCCTCTACTATCTCATGTATATAAACTGAAATTTTTTTAAAAACTTTGCCAAGCATCTTCTAGTTCAGAAATTTCTTTATTTACACAGTTTATCTCCTTTGATAAGACCATTAGTGAAAATCCATACAACCGTGGATGAGGAAACCTGGGTTTGGCCAGGTACCAGTGGCTCAAACCTGTAATCCTAGCTACTCAGGATATTGAGATCTGAGGATTGTAGTTCAAAGATAGCTGTGCAGTAAAGGCCATGAGACTCTTATCTCCAATAAATTACCAAAAAGCCAGAAGTGGAGCGGTGGCTCAAGTCGTAGAGTGCTAGCCTTAAGCAAAAGAAGTTCAGTTATAGCACTGAGCCCCAGAATTTCAGCCCCCAGTCTGGCACACACATGCACACACACACACACACACACACACACACACACACACACACACACACACACACACACACACAAGAAACAGAAACCTCAGTCTTCATCCAGCCCCATTGATGAGAAGCTGTGACAATGTCTAGTTACTTTCTTTCTCTGGGCTTCTGTTTCTTTCTTTGATAAAATGAGAGTATTGGATAAGATCGTTGTTAAAGTCTATTCACTCATCTATTGTAGTGATCTATATTTAACTCATGAAAGAATCAGGCTTCTCTTTTTTGAAGATCAAAGATATGAACTTTCAGGCATTAATAAATCACTTTTTTGTCCCCACTCAAGTTCCTAAAACTAAATAAGTTCTTTTTTTCTTTTCTTTTTGTCAGTTGTGGGGCTTGAACTCTGGGCCTGGGCACTGTCCCTCAGCTCTTCAGCTCAAGGCAAGCGCTCTACCACTTGAGACACAGTGCCACTTCTGGTTTTCTAGTAGTTTATTGGAGATAAGAGTCTCATGGACTTTGCTGCCTGGCTGGCTTTGAACCACGATCCTCAAATCTCAGCCTCCTGAGTAGCTAGGATTACAGGTGTGGGACACCAGCACCCAGCTTCCAAATGAGTTCTTTGATCATTCTCCTAAATGCCTAGGTAATCAACGGCAGCCCTGGCTCACCTTTAAGTATCCATGATTTCCAAGTAAAATACTATCTTCCCTTTGGTGGCAGGGCTGCCTGATTCAACACCTGTGTTGTCCCCTGGCAAATGGCATCTCATTGAATGGTTCATGACGTTCCCTCTACAGCATCACCAACTTTCATTTGTCCTGTGTTATAACTCAAGGAAAAGCTTCCCAGCAGTCAATCTAATAGATATTTTTGATACCTGTTATACTCTGTCTTCATGGAAGAAGGCTGGAAATGCCTTCTTATACACAATTCTGAAGATGCCGCTCTTCTACCCTTTTATATTTGTCTACCATTTGCTTACTCTGCCAGCCATGGGAGGGATTGGGGAGGCTCCCTGAATCAAAAAGGGGTGGGAGTGGACAGCAGTAGAATCTTGAAGGGGCATGTAGGTCTGAGAAAGGACTACATAGAAGTAGTCTCTTTACTATTTTTCCTTCTCTAATGTTGGTACTGTTGCATTTCATCGGAACCCATCCACTTTTCAGGTCTAGCCAAACCATTTGACATTTCTGTTTCTTATACATAAAGTAGAGCATGCTGTAGCCTATGGCCAAGAATCTATCTGCTTTTAAAATAGATGTTGTGTCCAGGTGCTGGTGACAGCTGCCTATAATCCTAGCTACTCAGGAGGCTAAAATCTGAGGATCACAGTTCAAAACCAGTCCAGACAGAAAGGTCTGTGAGATTCTTATCTCCAATTAACCAACAGAACACAGGAAATGGAGCTGTGGCTCAAAGTGGTAGAGCACTAGCCTTGAGCACAAAGAAGCTCAGGGATAGCACATAAGCTTTGAGATAAAGCCCCATGATGGACAAAAAAATACTGTTATTGTCAAGCATAGCAATGAATTTGCTACTTCCAATCATAGATTCTTACCTGAAAGCATCCCTCTGGAAGTCTGAGGTGGGTATTTGAGCTACAAATACCAGGTGGAACACTTACATGATTGTTTGAAGGACTCAGTCCATGGTTTATATGCAAAAGATACTAACTGTCCAGGTTCTCAGAAGGTTTGATATTCTTCCATCATTCTGAAGACTGTTAATATCCAAGGCAAACTGCATTTTTCAATCTGCTTTCTCTCTCCCCTTTGAACTACTAGCTTTGTGACTTAAAATTATATATTATATAATAACATAAGTTGCTACTGAGAGCAGGTGCCTAGATGTGATCATCTGCTCCCTGTTCTGGTCCTTGTGCTGCTATATTAGGTTTCTTGTAGGAGGTAAGCATACCAGAGAGACTGTCAATGCGAGGCTAAATTCTGAAAGATTTCTAGAAAAGTATTCCACAGACAAGTTGGTTATAAAGGCAGAGGGCTTATTTCCCTTAGAGTAGCTTTTCTGGGCAGTTGGACATAGATTGCCTGCTATTCACCCTTTTCTCCCCACAACTCTTTGTACAGGACAACCCAACAGGGAACTTCTGCACATCACTGCCGGGAGAATGGAGACATGATCTTGATAGCTCCTGTCTGGGAAGCAGATCAGGTTAGATCTCGGATCACATGGAATATATTTGTAATTCATCTGTAAAGCATTCAGAAAATCTTCCCCAACTAAAGCCTTAGAATTCCTGCTAGTACCTTTCCTTCCAGGAGGCAAATTTTCTGCATATTATTATTATTGTATAAACAAACCCTTTATTTGCTGCACTGCAGACGTTCCCTTTATTCTTTCCCCCGAATTCAGAAGCTCAGATACTGCTAGAGACATGGAATAAAAACTCATTCTCCGTGCCGACTTTGGAAAAGGATTTTGTCCACCTGGCTGCGTTACAGATGCGTCAATCCTTTCATTCCTCCCCACCTCATCTCTGTCAGGCTGGAGAGGCAGAGAGAGGCAGAGGAGCTGATCCATTATGTTGCTGCTATCTGATTGGCTGGAAGGTCCGTGGCTGGGCTATAAAAAGAGACCTGAACAGACTTTGGAGGGAGAAGCTCAAGAGGATTCTGACAGCATCTTTGTGGAGAAGGAAGAGCTTTCAAAATAGAAACCACAGCTCCTCCTGCTGCCTTTCTTTCCTACCTGCGACTCCCACACCGATAGCAAGATGTGTAAGGGACTTGCAGGTCTGCCAGCTTCCTGCCTAAGGAGGTAAGATTGCTGCTATCACTGATCAGCTTAAACTCTGGGATAGACAATTCTAAGTCACTTGCATGCTGTATTTCTTAACTTCGTTCTTTGGAATTAGAAGCGACATGGTTATCAGAACAGCAACTTCCTATTCTTTTTTTCACCAAGATTAGCTACATATTGTGAGTTCGGAAGTATCTATATGTTCTGCAAATATTCAGACTTGTGTATTGTTTCACATGACCAGTATCAAGAGCTGTTCTGAGCAGGTCCTTTCATCAAGCTAGCTTAGACTAAGGAGTAATATGAGGTTTGGGGCTATGTAGAGGGGCTGACAGGAACTCTGGGATTCATGCTTGTATTTGAGCATCACAGGATCACTTTTTAGTTGTATACTAGATTTGGGATATGAAGAGACCTCAAAAGTAAGTCGAGTGGCATCACCAGACAAACTGATGATGCTTTTCTCTGTCGTGTTGCAGTATTGGTCATTCTATGTTCTCATAAGCAATGGTGGCGCTAAAATGTGGTTTTCAAAGCTAGGTTTCCCCCTCTCTGGCTGCCCCACTTGTAGTTCTTAAAGTTTCCTATGTGAGAGGATATTGAGAAGTACTGATTAGAATAAATCAGCTAGAAGTTCTGCAGCCAATCTCTGTAAAGACCTGGTTTTATCATGTACTCTCTTATTTAAAAAAAAAAATAAAGACTTTAAAGGTATGTAGCTCTTGATCTGCCTTCAGCTTTTCAAACAAGATCTAAGTAAATGATTTCAAAGGATGCTTGCATATCTGTCAGTCAAAAATAAAATACAAAAACAGTATATGTTACATGATTTTCATTTATAACAAAAGGTAAAAGAAATCAATCTGAGAGTATACCAACTCTGTGTGTGTGTGTGTGTGTGTGTGTGTGTGTGTGTGTGTGTGTGTGTGTGTGTGTGTGTGTGTGTGTGTGTGTGTGTGTGTTTCCGGACAAATAGAAATCACCTTATAATTCAGTTTGGAAATAATCCCTGAAATCATAGTCTTTGTGCTTTCCTGAGAAGTTTATCTTTTAAGCAGTCTGCCATTCATGAGTAAGAACATGTTAATGGTCACTTTAAGTGAAGCAGTGAGGTCTGACAGAAAGGCAGTAAGAATTCCTCATCTTCACTTTTGATTTCCTGATCAGAGTGAAGGAAGGCATTCGAAGCTTTAGTTATATTCTTCACAATCAGTAAAGAGGCTTCACAGGGGGTCCTGACTGCTCAAGGTCACATGCAAGGTGTGTGGCAGAGTGGAACCAACTTAGGTTTCCTGTCTCCAGTGGCTTCTAAGGTCACTTTAGCTTTTATCTTTGTAGTTGTATTCTATTGTGTTATAAGGAAATTTGTTAGGCAGAATTTCAGTTCTTCATAAAATTGACCCTGGGTTTATTCAATAAATGTTGGATCTCAGGCAAAGACAACTTATGGGAATATGAAATAATTTCTTTGGAACTGAATTACAAATATTATCACGTTAGCCTTCCAGATTGTATCTTTCTATTATTGAAGAGATTTTTGCCTCTCCTGACCAGTTTCCATTTAGGGAAGAAGAGAAAGGAAAGCAGTTTTGTGAAGGAAAGTAGATACTCATTAAAGGATAATCCAAGAACATAATGAGATCCAAATAGTTTGGGAAGGGACAAGTGTCTCAGTAGCTGAACTGTCTTTCTGCCCTTTGTGCCCTTGTCCCTTCCAGGTAGGAACAACCGCTTGCCAGCAGGGGGAGTGCAGCAAAAAGATTTTGCAGTTCCTTGCTTTGCTTTTCAATCTACAGGTTACTCGAGCTCACTCATATATCTAGTATCGTTCCACTGACAATAGCAAAGATATGGTTAGAATGGTGGCAGTACAGAGGAGCCTTTCTGAGACAGACTGAAAAGTGAAAATTCAAATTATACATGAATAGGTGAATGAACCAGTATTAGGATTTGGTCTCACAATTTTGCTAGAATTACAAAAATTTTGTTTTCCCAAGAAGTTTATGTTGCTACAATTTCGGTTCCCTCAATACACTGCTCTGTCTCCTGCATTAATAATGATTTTTTTTTCATGGTGATGGTACTGGTATTGAACTCAGTGCCTTGCATTTGCTAAGAAAGTTCTCTACTGCTTGAGACATACCTTCAAGCGCTTCAAGATCTATCCAAAGGGTTTCTTTTATACCAAGATGGTTATCATGTTAATTCTCTCCCCCCCCTCTTCTGTGCAGTGCAAAGGACATGAAGCATCGGCTGGGGTTTCTGCTGCAAAAGTCTGATTCTGGTGAACACAGTTCATCCCACAGCAGGAAAGACAGAGGGGTTGTTAATCAGAGGTAAGAAAAATGTTTCTGATCATAGTCCATTGACTAGGGGTTATCTAATGGCAGAGTCATCTTATAAGAAGAGAGGAACTTATGCTCATAGTCAAGTCAGATTTTTATCTCCAGGGCTTCCATTTTCATGGATGTCATAACTAGATTTGAAATTCCCATCTATTTAGTGAAAAATTGTCCTAATCATTGTTTTCATCATAATGATGGAAGATAGAAATCTGCATGATATTTAGGATCTTATATTTCTTTCCCCAAGTCTATTTTATGACATTCACATTATTCTTTTTTTTCTCTGTAACGTCTCAAGGGCGAGCCAAGAGGAAGTCAAGAAATGGGCTGAATCACTGGAAAACCTGATTAGCCACGAATGTAAGTCAGATACCCTTCACCTTGAGGCTGAGGATAAATGCACTCTAGATAAAACAACTTATCTTGTATTCTGCAAGTCTGAAAGGAAATACAGAAAGACCTAAGCTCCTTCTGTTCCTAGATTCAGTATAAACTGGCATTACAATTGGCGAGCTTAAAATTTTACCATGATTTATGATTTATGACAGGATGTTCATAGAGGGGCCTGGTGACAGAAAGAACATCATTCTCATCGCATAGAAAAATGACAAAGAGAAAAGTTTTCTGAATATGAAATCTCGTAGAGCCATTCTCAGCTTCTCTTTCCAAAATTCACTTTGGTAATATATGGCTGCATAGATTCTTCAGGAATGTACTGCTTTTTTGAAAGTAGCTTTAACATTGAGTGGAAATCATTAGGTATAGCTAGCACCTACTAGATATAACTAGAATCTACAGGATGTTTAACACATACTAGGGTTATTTGGCCCCAAAGTACTCTCCAAAGTCAGCAAGATTTCCCAACCCCACACTCATCCCCCCTAAGTAGCTTAGTTTAATTTGAAATTTGAAGTATTAATTTCCAACTGCTAGCCAGCATGATGATAACTGTCATTCTTTTTCTTGTGTCACAGGTGGGCTAGCAGCTTTCAAGGCTTTCTTGAAGTCTGAATTCAGTGAGGAGAATATTGACTTCTGGGTCAGCTGTGAAGAGTACAAGAAAATCAGGTCACCCTCTAAGCTCAGTCCCAAGGCCAAGAAGATCTACAATGAGTTCATCTCAGTTCAAGCAACCAAGGAGGTAAGTTTTCATAGCTGAGAAGTCTTTGGATCTGACTGCAAGTTCTTAGAGATGACATTCTAGGGATCATTGGATTAAGAAATATTTGAGTAGGTGTCATAACAACCCCAAAGTGGATTAAGAAAATTAAAGCTCTTTCATCCATGTGGTTTTAATAATATTTCCTGATAAATCTCCCTGATTTGAAGGAAAGAAGATACTGTTCTCACTTTGAAGTAGAATCAACTTATTAATTATTATTATTATTATTATTATTGCACATATGACAGGGTAGATCCAATTGTCCTGTACTTCATTCTTGGGACATGGAGTACCCATAGTCTTCTATTATCCTGTACAGAGCACATTACCTCCTGTCCTCAACAGGGTTGTAGGACTAATGGCACCCTGGCCTTTGCTCCTCAGGTGAACCTGGACTCTTGCACCAGGGAGGAGACAAGTCGGAACATGATCCATCCTACAAGAACCTGCTTTGATGAAGCTCAGAGGAAGATTTTCAACCTGATGGAAAAGGATTCATACCGCCGATTCCTGAAGTCCCGATTCTATCTTGATTTGGTCAATCCTTCCAGCTGTAGGGCAGAGAGGAAGAAAGGAGGCAAGAGATTGGCAGACTGCACTCACCTGCTCCCCCAGTATGCCTAATTCGCACTGAAGGCAGAGAGCTGACAAACTAAGACTCTATGCTCTGAAAAAATCTGAGGCCAAATATTGATCTCTATAAAGCACCAATGCTTTATCCACATTGTAGCCTAAGTGTTCATGCTGTCTGCCATGTGTGAGTCACTTCCATGTACAAATTAGATTTAGTCATGGTGGTTGGGTCTTCATCAGGGTGGGACCTTGTTCTAGTCCAATTTCTCCTAGTTTCCTTGAGGATGTCATGCAAGCAAGTATTCAAATAATGACCTTGTAGGTCTGGAATCTCAAAGTATGTTGGGAGTTCTTCTCCACTCCTAACAGTCTGACCTCAGGTTGGTTGATGGATGCACCCCATGTGTATGTATACATACACATGTATATGTATTCAGTTAGCCAGTATTTCCTACAGACTCTCAGTGTTTAGGGGAGGTGGATATGTATGTATGTATGCATATATGTTAAATACATATATATGTATATATACTATATACATATACATTCCTTATATGTTGTATCCATGTATTCATATTGGTGTGTGACACACACACACACACACACACACACACACACACACACACACACACAGAATGTAAGAATAGTTGGGAAAGACCTAGGTGCTCAAAATAGAGTGTATATGCAATTCCATGCAAATGATGCTGGCTCTTCAATACTGCATTTAAACAGGGCAAACTGAACTGACTACCATTCAGACTAAGAGAGAAGGATGGTAACTTCTGGGAAGTTGGTTCTTTAAAGCCACTGGGTCTTGGGGAATCATTGGGGAAGCATCTATGGGACTTCATGATTAATTTAACTGCTGGTGGTCTTCACATTGAATGCTATTGTAAGGAACAAATACCATAAAGAATCATACATCTGGCCAACACAAAACTGTCTTGCATTGGTTATCACTTTTAAGTCCTTCTGCTGCTTGCTTTTTCTTCTTTGCCTGGGTACTCAGGACCTGTGGCTCAGCAGTTGGATTAGTCTAGAGTTGGGAGAGGAGAGACTTGAGCTAAGAAATGCAGTCATGGCATTGCCAGCTAGCCCTATCATCTGTAACTGGCTAAGCAAGAGCACAGAATTGGAAAGTTACATTACTATCCTCTGTCCTCTTTTTCTTTCCTGATTAAGGTGCTCTTCTCATATTTCCCCTGAGAACCTTAGCCAACAGATGAGTTCCTTGTGGTTGCTTATTTTACTTTTTTTCTCCTTCATAGTGGTTCCTGGCTCTATGCCTTCGATACAAAGCAGGGGAAAGGTAATACTTTACAAGGGGAAAACAAGTTTTCACAAACTGAGAAGCTCTCATAAATGTTCTCTTTTAAGGTAAAGTTGTGTTCATTCCATACCAAATATCAGGGCTAGCAGAGACTGAAGGCATTTCTTTCTAGGCTCTGAGAATAAAGGAGAAAGAGAGAAAGAGAGAGAGGGAGAGAGAGAGAGAGGAGAGACAAAGGAAGAAAGAAAGGAAAATGAAAGAAAGGAGAAGAGAGAAAGTTGTTAGAATTGTTGTTTGGATCTTTTCAAGGCAAATGAAATACTTGAAAAATTATCATTTATGTTATTTATGCTGTTGTTTTATACAATATTTTTTAAATTATTATATTATTTTATAAAATGGAGATACAAGATATCACCTGAATTACTAATGAATGCCCAGGAAGTAATTTCCTTCTCATTCTTCTAAAACAGTTGCCTTTGAACTACCCATACTCATGCGCACACACACTGTATCCAATGCTCAAGTTACATGCACAAGCACTTTTGTGGCTTTTAGCCAGTGTATAGAGCTGCAAAATGAAGATGCTAGAGTGTTTGTATACAAATCCCATGGTGTCAAAGATGTAAAGGTTCAAACTATACCCTTTCTGTCCAGCAATCTTACTCTCCATGTCCCTAAAGTTCCTCATCAACTTCCCTCTTTTGTTATCCAACACAGCCATGTTTCTAGTTGACTCTAGGATCCAAACATACAACTCTGGTCTTGCCCTATTATGTCAGTCAGAACTTTCAGATTGTACCTGTACTCACTGAATCCTGTCTCACAAATAGGTCTGGAAGGTCATTCTGAATGAGAAGTAAATTATTTTATGTAATATATTTCGAGTGTGTTTTTCAATTACATGTTCCTGTGATCTCAACACCACTTGTTTGCTCATGGTCCATGGACAGAACATTCCTTCCATCTGCATGCCTCTTTCTCCTGTGCTTTATAGGCCTCCTAGCTGCTGCTTCCAGTGAAGCACACACATCTTATTATTAAGGGTAAATAAAAGCTTCATGCAAAATGTTGTGCTTGGAAACCCATTAATGATCCACAGATACACATTGTGAGAGGCAGCAGGGTGCAGGATAACTTCTGAAGATGACTCACACTGGGTCTTTTATCCTTGCCATGCCAACTATCTCTGAGAAGCAGAAACAGAATGTTGTTTATTCTTTGTTTCCCGAAGCTCTGCTGCTTCCACTCACAGAACCAGCCCATTTTGGCTTCAGAGACTGTACTGAACACATTCAAAGGGCTACTTCCACTTCATCAATAGAGATTTTTTTTTAAAAAGAACTCTTCTACTTCCAATTACCTAGCTGATTGAAGAAAAATGGAGTATGGAGTAATTGAGAGGGTTGAAGGAAGCTATAATATCTGGGAAATGGAACCCATGCCCAAACTGCTAAAAAAAACTCTTCCTTTATTTTTGAATTATTTTCCCTGAAAAGAGGTCACAGAATGCTCATGTGTGAAGCCACAGATATGTCATGTTATGAGACCCCTTTCCCCACTTCCTAGAGCTTTTCTTTTTATACTTTAAGAGTCATGTTTGGAGGGTGCTAGGGACATCGGATCATAAACATTTTTGAATGGTTGGCCTTTTAAAGAGCTCATGGAAACTATGGTTCATATCCCTTAAAAAGAACACAGAGCAATCCAAATTTCTCATAAATGTTTAGCAACAACTTTCACAGCCTCCCTTCAGCGCATACAAAATGATTATTCCTATCTTATACTTGTCAAACCATACTTAATTCTCAAAACATCCCTGAGAAACATAGGTCAATTTTGACATTTCCTTCACTGAATTTCCATAGATGAAGAAACTCAGGTACAGAATATTAACTTGGCAACTTCTAATTGCTTGTAAGGGATAGATACTAGCTCAAATTTGAACTGAAGAAGCCTGGGCACCTACAAGCATAGCAGAAACATGTAGCACTCACCAAATAGCCACATTCCAGTCAGTGAAAAGCAAAGGGTCTCTTTCAGACATATTAGTGAAGAACCACCTCAAAAGTGACTGGCGTCATGACACATACCTGTAATTGCAGCATTTAGGAAACTGGACTAGGAGGATTGGGAATTTGAGGCCGGAATCAACCTGGCTATATAGAGAGTTCCAGGCCATCCTGGATTACATAAAAACATGTGGTTTTAGAAAAAAAGCAAAATAAAGAATAGAGCCAAAATGTACTCTCCATTGCTCTCTCATGTTTTGTTGCAAGTTTGGAGTCTCCATATACAATGTGGAGAAGAGCCTTCTGGCCTACCTCAGAGCAAGAGGTAAATAAAACAAATCATGGTTGAGTTAAGCAATGTATGCATCTCTCTTCTATTGTAGCACAGTATTTATTACACTAAGCAATGGAAGCTCTGTACCAGACTTTTGCCATTTATTTATGTGAGGAAGAGAGCAGGCACTCAGTATGTAGTTAAGAGGGCTTATTTATAATTACAGCAGTTTTAGAACTCCAAACTTCACTTTATTGGGAGACATTACAAAAGCCAAGGTGCCTCAAGCTATCTTTTGACATTCTGTATTATAAATGCTTAGATTTTTAAATTAAAAATGAGATGATAGAAAGGATGGAGCCCAATAAAATAAGTACTAGAAAATAGGTATTTGCAAGAGGGGAAAGTGGGGCCAAGGGGAGAGAGGTAGAGGAATAAAGGGGGGATAAAAATGCAGGAAAGAATTCATTGTATATACCACAGAATTGAGAAATATAAGGGAAGGGGCTGGTTGAAGGGGGTTGAAGATGCTGAAGTGAAGATATAGATCGAGATGCATTGTACACATAAACTGCTTTGTTAAATGGGAAAAAATTCAACACTTAACCTAAAATGAAGATAAATAAGGGAAGGAGTGGGTTGGAAGGAGGGAGTGAGAATGTTGAAAGGAGTGGCATTGATCAAGATGCACTGTTTTCATAAACTGCTTTGGTGAATGGCAACTTCTTTGTACAACTACTTAAAGAGAGTAAAACTATTTTTTAAGAACAGGATGGAAGATGAGAAAAGGAAAAAAGGTGAAGGAAAAGCTATAAAGAACAAACCTGAAAGGAAAACCAACTCCTCATCAGCCCAGGCTAACTACACCATGGTGAAAAGTGTCATTAGAGCAAAGCCAGTCAGATCGCTTGGTATATATGACAAGCCAGAAGTCAAAATACTGTATAAAAATCTATAAAAATGGAATTACCCTATAGAGTTAATCCAAAGGCTTGGTTCTAAACATGCTTAGGTGATTAAGCCACAAGATGAGCTACTAAATCACCTTGTTTTTTTAAATACACATGGCTTTGCTTTTTAAACATATAGTTGACATAGGAAATATGACAAAAGAGAGGAGCATATTAGGACTTATCCTTTTTTAAAAATTAATTGCACAGAGGAAACATTTAGTCAGATGACTTAATCATATCCAGGTACAATTAGTATCCAGGTTTTAGATTTTTTTCTAATTGGAAGAAATGAAGTCAGTGACTGTTCAATTCCTAAGACATCCCAGTGGAGGGAAAGGGGGTTAAATAATGCCTGGAGAGAATGTATTGTTTCCAAAGGAGACTTAAAGTTGTTATGTATTCCACAATGTTTTATATAATCTTTACATAATCTTACTTAATACTTAGGACAAAACTGAAGTAGTTAGTCTTATTATTTTTTTCCATTGTAGAGAGTGAAACTTTGATATAGAAGAGTTCAGAAATGTATCTAAAATCATACATCAAAAAAATGTGGTAGAACTTGGGTCAACTCAGAATTCTTCCCACAGAGTTTCACATGTTTATTCTAATCAAGGACAACAGAGAAGGCAGAAATAAACAAAAACAGGAACTGAGGCAAGCAAGAGAAGAATAACTGGAAGTAAATGAAATGGAGAGAAGAGGTTAAAAAAAAGGTGAGAAAGGAGGAAAAAATAAAAAGAAAAGAAAGGGAGCAGAAAAAGGAAAGCAAATGTGGAAGAAAGGGACATGAAGGAGTGAGAAAAGAAAATAAAGAAACATGGTATGAAGAAGGACAAATGTAAAATGCTCTTTGGTCTCTTACTACAAGGTGGCTGAAGCACCAGGCAGCTACTGGGTTTCTCCAGGTCCTTCATTTCTTCTAAATTTTATTTTATTATAAAGATTCTGTACAGAGGGGTTACAGTAAGGTAATGAGTACATTTTCTGTCGAGCATTGTTACCTCCTCCTTTGTTTTTCTCCAACTATACTTTCCCACTCCCATCTCCCACACTCCTCCTCACCACCAAGTTGTAAAGTTCATTTCCAACATAGTGTCTTGTGAGTCTCATTGTTGCAATGGATCATCCTGCATCCTTGTTTCAGCACTTCGTTATTCTCCTTCCCCTCCCCAAATTAGATAAATGTATTTACGAGATGCAAGGTACCAAAATCAAATACAGTGACAACAAGGAAATACCATAGGGGGAAGAAAATACAAAGGAAACAAAAAAATCACATAGTGCATTAAAAACAACAACAACAAAGAAAGACCTCTTGTGTCCGTTTCTTGGAGTTAATTTCACTTTATCTTATATGGTCATATGTACATAGCTTTGGAACTTTTCTGTTTATCTGATAAGATTATTTTAGATGTATACTAATTATTGGAAATTAGGGAAATCATGAGACCTATATTTCTTTGGGTCTGGCTTATTTCACTTAATATGATTTTTTCCAAGTCTTTCCATTTCCTAACAAATGGGGAAGTATCATTCTTTCTGATGGAAGCATAGAATTCCAAATATACCACATTTTCTCATCCATTCATCTACTGAGGGACATCTGGGGTGGTTCCATATCTTAGCTATGGTAAATAATGCTGCAATGAACATGGTTGTGCTGGTAGCTTTAGTATGGCCTTGTTTGTGATCATTTGGGAAATCCCAGAAGTGGGATTGCTGGGTCATAGGGGAGCTCTATGTGGAGTCTTTTAAGGAACCTCCATACAGCTTTTCAGAGTGGTTGAACAAGTTTACCCTCCCAACAGTTCAGTAGGTCTCACTTTTGGCCACATCCCCTGCAGCATCTGTTGTTATTAAATTTCTTGATTATAGTCATTCTAATTAGGGTAAGGTTGAATCTTAATGTTGTTTTGAGCTGGGGCAGGTCCTAGGTACCCTGAGGGTCAGTGAAAAGGGCAATTTGGAAGCAAGGATTAGAAAAGAACCAGGACTATTTTGCTCTCTATCATTCTTCTGTTTGTTCCTTCTTCTTTGCAAGGTTGTGAACTACCCACAGAGCAACTATTTAGTTCATTTTTTTTCAAATTTATTATTATTTGTACAAAGAGGATACAATTCCAAAAGTCAGGTTATGAGTGAGTATAATGCTTCTTCATCAATGTCACTCCTTCCATTGTTCTCCTTCATGTTGCAACTATTTTTTAAAATATATGTCAACAATAACAGCAACAACAAAAAACAAAGAATGACAAAAAGAAAGGATATACAAATGCCCCAGATCTCTTTTGGCTTCAGTGCACTGCTGCTTGGGGGGCATTATTCAGAGACTAGAAGTCAGTCAGCCACTCCTGAGATCTCACACAACCAGGACCCCAGCTGCAAACAGACTTTGGGCCCCATGGTCCTGGTCACGTTGTTCCTGCCTCCCCTAGGGGACAGAAGCCAGTGGCCACTGGTGACTATTGGGCCCGGGTTAAAGGGCATTCCCTCCCTAGTGTGGTCAAGGCAACAATGCACACAAATTAGTAGCTGGACCGTGGGAACTGGTAAGAGGTGACCTCTCCAGACTCCCAAGGGCTGACTGAGAGCACTGCTACTGAAGAAAAGAGAAAATGACTTTTTTTTCCCCAAA